TGTTTCAAAGACAGCAAACACTCTGTTCCATGTTGAGCACTTGCTACCCCAGACACGTGGTTGGGCATGTCAGCTGCCAGGCTTTCTCAGCTAATCTGCATGAGTCACCTGGGGAAGCGTGCATTGCCTTCATGTTATAGATGAAGAAACAACTTGAGCTGACCTGGGGGATGCTGAGCCTGCAAGCCGCCATGGGAATCCCACGGCTTCTCATTTAGAAGCCAAGCTGTAGGGTGAGGAGGCAAATTCTGACAACTCCCACGTGAGGCGATCTCGGCTCACCACATTAAGGAGGTGTCGGTAGGAATTTAACAGCAAGATGACTTGGTTAGATTTGCTGTTACATATAATTTGGAGCTGTGTGCCTATTTTTTTTAACATGGTAAGATGCTATTATGGTCTACGTGTATTTCCCTAAAATTTGGATATTGAAAGTTCACTCCAGGGCCAGCACGGTGGCTCAACAGGCTCAATTCTCTGTACACAAGCACCACCATTCCATACGGGCACCAGCTCATGTCCCAGATGCTCCACTTCTGATCCACTCCCTAATAATGGCCTGGGAAAGCAGCATAGATGACCCAGGTCATTGGAACTCTGCACTTATGTGGGAGGCCAGCAGAAGCTCCTGGCTTCTGGTTTTAGTGTGGCTCAGCTCCAGTTCTGTAGCCATTTGGTGAGTAAACCAGAGAATGGAAAATCTTTCTTTCTGTCTCTCTTTCTCTCTATAAATCTGCTGTTTCAATAAAAACCAATTAAAATTTAACCACCATAAAAGAGCCTACTTCTTATTAAGAGGTGGGGCCTATAGGGGGTGATTACATTCTCAGACTTGACCTTCATGAATGAGACTAAAGTCTCATAAAAGAAGTTGAAAGGGGGCATCGGCTCCTTTGGTTCCAACAAACCAGGGGACACAGCAAGATGGCACCATTTCTGAAACAGACAAAACCCTCATCAAGTCTGCCTTCACTTTGATCTTGGACTCCCCAAGCTTCTGAAACCTAAGGTATTTTTGTTATAGAAGCCTGAACTGAACTAAAGACAATGTGATGAACAGGCTTTGAAAACAGTGAACCTGAAAAGGCGTTTGATGGATGATTTTCTGACAGACGCCGGGATTATGAAATTGAAGCAAGCAGTAATCTGGGTGAGAATCCAGGTTGTATTGCCATGCAGGGAGGCAAGGAAAGGGATGGGCAGACTGACTGGTGGCTGACTCATCAGAGGTCGTCCCAGTCTTGTCATACTCAGTTCTTCCTTCTGGAATTGGCAGGTGTGCACCTGCTCTCCATTTAGGGTACCCTAACCGCAGTGTTTCTGGGCAATGTGAGCCCCAATGTTGAAGAACCTTTGAGAAAAACACAAAATCAGCAAGGACTATGGACCCTACTGAAGCTTTTCAGACTGGCCAGCTGAGCCCAGCTGCATGTATTAAAAAATAGCAATTGATCCCCAAGGGCAACAGCTCTTTCTCTTTCTCAGCACACATGGTCCAGTGGTGTGCTGTGTTGACCGCAGGCTGCAGGTGGTGGAGGCTGCAGCCTGGATCCCTGCAACACCGGGCAATGCATGACATAGACATGAGGTGCTGGGATGTCTGCAGACATCTTGGCATTGTTGCAAAACGGAAGTCTCCCCATGGCTATCCTGTAGATAATGGCCAAGATGGGCAGGGCTGGGTTTTTTTTTTTCTTCTCTTTTAAAAAAATTTAGATAATGCTTACATAGTCAATCAGGGTGGGAAGGATCTAGGCTTAGGGAAAATTGGGTGTGATCATTGTTTCCAAGCTTTCTACTTCTTCTTCCCATTTCTGGGGGGTGGTGGGAGGGTGGGTGGGAGGAGAGTTAGGGGAATAAACCATAACCAGCCTTCCAACCATCCCAGAACCTGAGGATGGGGAAGAGCCACTTGATATCAACCCAGAGTCACAATGGCATGTGTTCTGAGGGTTCTGCCCAGGGGGATGGGATAGTTCTGATATGCTGTCAATCTCACCAATCTATAGATAAGAAATCCCTTCCAATGTCCTGACTTCCAATAGCTGACACCATTGACTTTATAATTTCCAATTGCCCAGGTATTCTCTGTCATCATTTGGCTGGGGTCCATATGTTCTGTTCTCTATTCTCTGCTAAGGTACCAGATCTCCTCTGCAGGCCCCAGTGAGCTACCATGTCATGCATGTGTACCATGGCCTGCTGTCCAACATTCCACACTTTACAATGGTAAGGACCAGTTCTCCTAGGTGGTCTTATGGACTGGAGCCAGGCGATCAGGGTTATGTCAGACCCCCTACAGCTGGGGCTCATGGATCCAGCAACTGCCTCACAGACAGCTCATAGCCCCAGGCCATGTGACCCAAGACCAGGCAGGGCTTTTTCTAGTTCTTTCTTGCAATAGCTCAAGTCTGAAAATTGCTCAGGGTCTCAAGTTCACATCGCACTCACTCTTTCTTACAAGGATGTTGTCTAGTTGTCAGACTCTGCAGCAACAGAGTCTGGGTACACAGTTTCACAACTCAAATGACTAAGATGCCCACAGTGGCCTGAGTCCCCTGGGTTGAGCTGTCTTTGGGGGGAGGGAGGTGTCGAAGGGTGTGTGGGGGGTGTCAACTGCCGGGGTCAAGGGCAGTCACCTCTGACCCACAGGGAGGCAGCTGGTCAAGGAGGAGGCCAGACCTACTGGGGGGACCCCTGGAGCTCCCATGGCTTCAATGGCAATGAGTAACCAGGCGTCCTCCTCTGGCCACACACCACAATGCACCCTTTCTCATCACAGGCTCCACTTGCTGAAGGCCTGTGTGTACAATACAGTAAGATTCTATCAGAATTAATAAAGTTAAAACTTTATCTCATCTTCCTTATATCAGTGTAAAATTTTTGTTCTCTCTAATTCTTAACTTACAGCAATTATACTGTAGTCAAATAGCAGGTTGCCCACAAGGGTAAAACTACACTGAAGACTAGAATGACTTGGTCTCTATGGGGAAGATGGAAGGGAGTCATAAAGTTTATAGAAAAATTAAAAGAGAATGTAAATTTTCCATGAATCTTCTGAAAACCCTTGACAGCTTATTTGGTATTCTATCATGCATATAACTCATTGGAGAGTACAGAAAATATTTTTTTTAGAATACTTATAACTTAGTAGTACTTTCAAAATCTTATTTAGTCAGTCCATTTAAAAACATTGTATAAATCAATAGCAATTGCCTACTTCTAAATGGAATCATAACCCAAAGAAATGTGTTGTTAGGACAGCACAGACTCCAGGTCATTTGTGATGTATGCTTACTCTCACGAAAAGAAATAATCAGAGGAAAATATGAATAGAAAAATGAAAACCAAAGAGAAAAATGCACTCTGTTTTTTATTATTTTAATATAATCTGTAGGTAGAAATAATGACCCTCTGTTGTACTTCAGTTTAAAATATGGCCAATGTTCAATGTTGGCAAAATAATGTTTAAGAGACTCTGATTGATCAATTCCAATTATGCCCTTCTTATTTGCCAGTGAGAAAATGGAGAGAGCCTTATAGTAGGGCTCTTACAGAAGCTGCTATTAACCTCTCGATAATGGCCTCATTTCTGCATATTTTTTTTTATATAAAAAGAGGGTCTTGGAAACACTGAGGTATTAATGAAGGAGAGTTCACATCAGAACATTTGAACACCTAATCCTATGTGTTAATATAGAACTTTCTGAATCATACATTTGCCAAAAATGCATATTGCTATAAATTAACATGTAAATTTGTACATCGTATTATATACAATATTAATGCATTCTGACTTTTTTAGCTATAATTATTCATAATATTTTGATTTATGCAGTGCCCTGAGTTAATAGCCTAATAATTTGTAAATTCAATTAAGCTTTTTATCTTGATAAGCTTTTACTTTTGGCAAATATTTTCTACTAGTATAGAATAATGTATTCTTAATATATTTTCAAAATATAACTACCTATATTTAAAAAAATACCAAGACACTGCTAGTGTTACAGGTATATTAAAGATTGGGACCTTCTGAAATTTGCACAAGAATATTTTAAAATGTGATTTTCTTAAGCATTTAGCTTTCACTTATTTTCATTATGACTTTTGCAAGCAATTTTTTATATAGGATATTGCTACTTGATTACGTTTGAATAGGCGCTTAATTATGAGAATATACATTTAAAGAGCTTACATTTAAAGAGCTGTCTTTTTAAAATATTTAAGATGTATTTTTGTACTAACAATGAAGATAATTGTATGAAGTGATCCATTCCTTGAGATAAGTATACATAAAATATTCTGTATACAAAACAAATCTTTCTAAAAAAGGAAGGAAGGACACTATTGCTGGATTATAACACAAATCCCCCTTTTGTGTGTGTCTCGGCTCAAGCAAATGAGAAGCAATTTGGGAGATCCTGTATTATCACTGTGTGGTGGGAATATCACTAAATAGAATTTGGTCACTGGTCCTTGACTTTGAGTTAGGCCTGTTGAAATTCCCACTCAAAGATTCTTTCATCTTAACGCTTAATTCCTTAAGCACTTCAGTCAGTCCTGGATGATTCATTAAGTCATCTCTGAATGACAGCCCCATTGCATGTTGCGTTTATTCCCACGACATCGAGACCTGCTACTGAATGCTAACTGTAAACTGGGATATCTTTTCTTAATTAACTGGAACCCCAAGAAGAAAAGAAACACGTAGGAAGTAATACACTCTTTCTTACTAAACTTGCAATGTAAATTAGCACATGCAGATTTTATACCTAACAATCACTGCTAATGCATGCTTTATCCTTTCTGTTCTTACTGACTTTTAAGTGGTTTGTAACAGGTGCCATTTTCCAGAGCCATATTTACACCCAAATCAGCTTCAAGAGCATAAGTCTACACCTCTCTTTTTTATGACACACTTCTACATAGAAGGAGAGCCACAGAACAGAGAACAGTGCAGTTGAATTCTGTTGAACAATGAAAATAGTAGAAGTACTCACGTTCCACGAAGTATGAGCTGGCATCAATCTTCCAGATGATCTGGCCCCGGTGAGAACCATTGACTCCACGGTTCTTGTAGTCCAGAAAGTTTTCAGATAAGACCTCATCTAGATCATCATCAGAAGAAAACAGAGTATAGAAATACCAGTCAACAGTGTATTAACAAAAAAGAAAAAAAAAAGGAGCAAAAATGCTACTGACATTGCCAGTTCAACAGAAGAAATCAAAGAATGAGAGCTGCAAGCATCCTAAGACGTCATCTCTCCCACCCCCATCACACTTCTGGCAAATGATCAGCTAACCGGTTCTTAAACACTTCCACCAACAGGAGTAATTGCTGTGACAGCAGTTCGTCTTATTATTTAAGTAGTTCTTCTATGGGTGAAATTTCGATGTGAAAATCTTTCTGCCTGTAGCTCCTATGAGCTGATACCTACTTGACACTGAGGAGGAGGCATGAAAATAACGCCCAGTCCTGCTTTTGGTTTGGGGCCCAGTTCCCACAGGCTGCACCCCAAATTACAGCTTCTTCAGTGGAGGTCCCAGAAACACCCTCTCCAGATGATACGTCTATAAGTGGGCCCGTCCCCCTGCACATCTTCACGCCCTCATTTGCTCTTTCACCAGCTGAGATCCAACCATCTGCAGAAACTGGTTGGGAAATGCCTTCTGCACAAGCATGGTATTGAGGCAAATGGACATGGTTTCCTCCAAGCTAAAGCATAGACACAGCTGAGAGGAGTCACGTGTTGTGATGCAGTGGGAGAGGCACCCACCTGTCATGCCAGCAGTCCATATCTGAGTGTTTGAGTGCTAGCTGCTATATTTTACTTTTATCTTACAAGGGGGCTCCCTCTAGATGCCACTTGGCCAGAAAGTTACCATCTAAGTCAGGAGATCTAAAGATGTGACAATGATACACTCAAGGGCTGTAGGGACCACTGCTGAGGTAGAGCAAGTTAAGTCTGTGCCTATAGCACCAGCATCCCATATGGGCACCAATTTGAGTCCTGGCTGCTCCACTTCCCATCCAGTTTCCTGCTAATGGCCTGGAAAAGCAGCAGAGAATGACCCAAGTGTGTGGACCCCTGGACTGAGATGAAAAACAGGAAGAAGCTCCTGCCTGCTGGTTTTGCAGCTGCCTAGCTTTGACCCCTGTGGCCATCTGGGAGTGACTCAGCAGATTCAGGGTTTCTTTTTCTGTCTTTCCTGCTCTCTTTTGTAACTCTGCCTTTCAAATAAAAATGCTAAATAGATCTTTTAAAAATAAAGAAAGAAAAAAACAAAACAAGGAATCCTGGATGTGCAGTCAGGGAAGTTAGCTAAGTTTGCTTTTTTTCTCTTAGGACACCCTATGGTTCAATCATCTGGCTGGACAGAAGACAGCTTGCAGTAGAGTGCACAAAGGGCTGTGGACCCAATTCTTTCAAAATTTACACCATTTTCCAACAGCCTGGGGTTTTTTGTCCACACACTGTGGGTAGCAATAACTTCAATCTTTTTCTTTCTTTTTAAAAAGAGATTTATTCATTCTTCTTGGAAAGGCAGATTTACAGAGAAGGAAAGACAAAGATCTTCTATCCTTTTGTTCACTCCCCAAGTGGTCACACTGGCCGGAACTCAGCTGATCCGAAGCCAGGAGCCAGGAGCTTCCTTTGGATCTCTCACACTGGTGCAGGGTCCCAAGGCCTTGGCCCGTCGTCCTTGACTGCTTTCCCAGGCCACTAGCAGGGAGCTGGATGGGATATTGGAGCATCTGAGACAAGAATCAGCACCCATTTGGGATCCCAGAGTGTACAAGGCGAGGGTTGAGCCACTGGGCCATCACGCCAGGCCCAGCAACAACTTCAATTTTACAGGGGAGGATGAAACAAAATCATAAACAAGTGTCTTGGTAACCTGCTATGCTGAGTAGGCCCTTTTGGTTGTCCTTTCTTTGCAAAGCTGACTGGGCCAAGCAACATACTGTTGCCTCATTAACAGCAAGAACTGTTTATATTCTTTGGAAATTCACTTGTTTGTACAATTTGCCTGCCTTTATATTCACACTGTGTGCTCACAGCCCCATTTGGGTTACTAAGATGATTGCATAATATGTCTTTTTACAGTAATTGCTTCGTTTCTGCAAAAAGGCATAATATTTTTCGAGCTCCCTGGGTCTTCAATACACACACTGAGTCTCAGACTCAGGTGGAGATTTGCCTCATCACGGAACTTCTCCAAGGGTCAGAATTTGCCTGACTTGATCTGCTTGGATCACTGACATAGTCACCATGTCAGTCATGGTCAGGCGTTCCTCTACAGCAACATGTAAAAGATGAGATGCTTATTCATGCTTTCAATGGCGTGTATGGAGTACTTCGTTCCACTCTAGGCATTGTGCTAAACACTGGTGAACAGGGCATGACCTCTGCTCCCAGGTTTCAGATCATGCATATGTGGTCATTTATTTTTTAAAACCTAGTTTACCTCACCAGGACATACATAAGAATGGGTTCAATATTGAAGAACTGCACAAGTACGAATTAAAAAAAAAACTCAATGGTATGGGGTTGAGAAAAAAAATGAGAAAAGGCTGATGCGAATGGCGAAATCACACACCTGTGAAGAAGGAAAGGCCTGTTTTGCTGCATGTATTTATTTGTGTATTTACAACATAATGTAAGGAACTGGAAAATGGCATGGATTGGCATCCCTCCCCCCACACTAAAGGCAACATGAAATGACAAATGTCACACAAGAAAATAGAAGAGTCTGTGTTTGTGCCTAGACCATCTGTGTAAGAAGGTCAACCCACTTGCCAAAGGCATTGGTCACCAACTGTCAGTAAAGTTCTGAGTCCTAGCATTAGGAATCCAGGTGTATTGGCAGGGTCTGATGTAGACTAAAACGGCCACTGTAGGTATCCAGTGAAGAAAGGAGTGTGATGCAGGGACTCCAGTGGTAGGGGAGTAGGGATGGTGGAGGGGGGACAGTGGAGGGGAGACTCTTGTAAACAGCCTTCAAACTGCCCTGTCTACTCAGCTCACAGGTGACCCTAGGAAAATAGGACCATGAGCTGGAATCCAGAGACCAGGAGGGTACTGCTCAACCTGCAACCACTGTCTCTTTACCCACAGAGAGGACCAGCCAGGTGCACGTGGAACTGGTCCCTGCTACGGCACATCACTGACAGTTTGCAAAATGCAAGAGACAGTAGGCTGGTGTCATAGAGAAGCTCAATGTCCCAGGTTACACCTGCAGTAGCTACAGACCCTTCACAGCACAGGTACAAGGAATGAAAGCCACGCCTCTAGAACAAGATTTTGACATTTGAGTGGCCTGGATGGATTCTACACTAGAGGCAGATGGTAAAGAAGAGGTGTTGTGGGCTGAGGCCACTCTCCACCATAAAGGAATGGCAATCCCTGGGCTCTTCTCTAGAAGGCTCTTTTTCCTGGATTTTCTATTCTGCCACATGGCACGCAGGGGAAGAGGGACAATAGTTACAGGCCCACTGCTGTGTGATCTCCAGCACCTGGTTTAATCCTTGGAGCTCAGGTTTCTCACTATAAAACAGGAAAACTATTGGCTACCTGTCTCAAAATTTTGTGATGAGGACTGAATGAGCTAATGCAGAGAGTGGTCTTCAAACAGGACTAGGCATTGACTAAGCAACTATTTCTTCTGAGAGTCTGAAATCAAAACAGGGGATGCTGTTATTGTAAAGTCCCAGGCCACTTTATGTGTAAAACTATGCTTAGTAATTTGAAACATTAATTAATGCCACTACTGTTGGAACTCATCATGAGTTCTGTTGATACTGTGTATACATGCATTGGGTTTCTTTAAGAAGATATTATCTATAGCAAAAAAGAGATTTTTCAAGTTATTTAAATTTTACTGTCAAAATTCTAGAGATGCTTAAAGAAACAAATGCACCTAATCAAGGGATGTATTTTCTTTTGATTTTTCTTCAAATTGAAAACTGGAGTTCACATTTTCTTGTGCTGATCTTTAATTCGAGATGGGACCAAAAAAATACAGGTGTTAAAGCGGGATGTGCAGGTGAACCCGTAGGTGTTAGCAGTAAGATGGTATCAGGAGTCACAGCCATTGCACGAAACCAGGTATTCTACTATGGGATGGAGGCTGCAAAATCAGGATCTTAACTGCTAGATCATATGTTCATCCTATAGTTGTTTTTGACCAGAGGATAAACTTGTGCCCCTCCTACTGATATTTAGAAAGTACTCTCCAGATCCCTGTTGGTTTAGTCAGAAGCCACTGCCTATATAATGTGTCAGCAAAACAACTGAGCAAATGTCTAAGGGCAAAGGCTTAGCTGACTAAAGCCTGGAAATTAGGGCTTCATTGCTAGGAAACATTCAAGGGGTAAAGTTACCTGACAAAGCAAATCAAAATGCGAAGTATCGGTCACGGGACGGTACGCCTTATCTCATTAATTTCTCTCCCGATCCTGACAAGTTTTCTCTGTTTCACAGAAATGCATCTGGACATTAGCCAAGTAGATTCTAAATCAGGTCAATCCATCACCAAAGTCACAGCACTTTCACCATGCCATGCCACGAAGTGATAAATCACTTATCATTCTCATCCATCTCATTGAATCACTTAATATATGAGAGCAACCACATGCATCTCACGTTACCATAGCAGCACTGTTGAAGTTCTTGTCCTATCCGTGCTTTCTGATGGTCCTGATCAAGTGTCATCAAGCAGGACCACACATCTCTCTCTAAGTCCAGATGGTCTCACCCTCTTACAGCAGCTTTGCCTGGGTAGCCATAGAGGTCTCAGGATTCTGGATGTATTACAAATCTGGGCTCCTCTGACCATTATAATGGCCCACTGCTATGGACTGATGCATACATTATCTGCCCCAGAATGCTGACATCTGTGGCAGTCATGGACTCTGCCACCAGGGGAGCAAATTTGTGTCCCATGGCACTGGCATCTCAGATCAGACAAAATCACTATGTCTAAATTTCTAGCCCTTGATATATGGCAAGACACAGGAGATCCTCAAGTTACTAAAGACTTGCAAATTACAAACTATCATCTTATGCATATTGTTTGGACATTCAACTGGAATGTTATTCACAATTTGTATCTCACATGCATTAGTCACTTAATAAATGTGACATCATTAAAATTCACAATAAATAATGCTGCACTTCAGATACAAACATGCTGAAAACCACCAATACATCACTTGATGGCTATAGAATACTCAAAGATCTAATTCTGTAATCTCTGTTCAGTGAGAAAAAATTATGAGATAGCAGAATGAGATGTTGTTAGATACCAGTGTTGTCACCATTTGCAGCTACAGGAATTCTACTTATGAATGAGTGAAAACCTAAAACCTGTTTTTTTGTTTTGTTTTGTTTTTAAGATTTACTTCATTTTCATTAGAAAGTCACAGAGAGGAGGAGAGACAGAGAGGAAGATCTTCCCTCTAATGACTCACTCCCCAAGTGGCTGCAATGGCTGGGGAGTACCCGGAGCTGAGCCAATCTGAAGCCAGGAGCCCAGAACCTCTTCCGGATTTCCCACATGTGTGCAGGGTCCCAAGGTCTTGGGCCGTCCTCCACTGCTTTCCCAGACCACAAGCAGGAAGCTGGATGGGAAGCAGGGCCACTGGGATTAAAACCAGCACCCATCATGATTCCAGGGTGTGAAAGGAGAAGACTTTAGCTGCTACGCTACCACGCTGGGCCAGAAAGCCCTATTTTTAAAATACATGTGTCTGTGTTACTAAAGTAACAATTTAAATCCAATCAATATATGCACATTTAAGTGGATGTGATTTTCCTCTTGTCTGTAACATAATCCTTGCACCAGTTCTCTGAACATGCTTACTGTTTTGTTTTTAAAGGAGATTATGGGATTACACATACATGGTACTTCAAAATGTTCATGAAAAGTAGAATTAAAAGATATCTATTTTGATGCCAAAATTTGAAATGCATTTATAATTGCATTATATACACATTCCATGGACTTTTGAGAGTCAGTTTTGGGGAGTCAGTTTACCTCTGATGAGGTTTCCTTGGTGACCACCCCCACCACTAGTGGACCACTGGACTCAGAACTCCAACCACGCCAAAAATCACAGAATCTCTTGGTTTGATCATGGAGTTCATGTATCAAAACTGGGTCTCCAGGGTTGATAAGGCTTGTGCAGTGGATGGCATGCCCAGATGTTCATGGGGGACATGACAACCAGTTCATTGAGAACATCTAGTAAAATAGAGGACCTACCAAACTGAACAGCTCTCCCAGACAAGCATGTGGGCAAACTGAGCCTCTAAGGCGGACTATGTCAGCCAACGGACCTGGGAAGGATTTCTTCAATTTCGGAGCAACAAAACCAACAGCATCTCAGAACTATCAAAAGCACTTCAGCAGTATCCTAGGAATGATGCTATCCAGGGTCCTTCCCTATTCCTGCCTCTCTACCTTCCTCTCTCCACTTACTCCAGATACCAGGAGAAAAAAGGAGACTGCACTGGAGCCAGTTATCCCATCCACTTTCCCCCATTCCTTGACCCTCTGCACCCTAGCTGAAGGTCCACACAGGCACGCATCCATCTCAACTGCGTAAATATCATAAAAATATAATGAACTTATAAATGAAAAGCTGGTGATTTCCACAGCACACTGCCAGCTTGCAGTCAGTGGCCCAATGGGACAGTGTGCAGTGTTATTCTACTCACCAATGAGGTACATGCCAATCCAGTCCCCAGCATCCACTTCCTCCTTGATGTCCCAGTGGATCACCAGGTCCTGCGAGTGTCCTATGGAGTAGTAGGAGCTGCTGACCATGAGAGTGGAGCGGCTGTCTGAGGTGACCAGGTCCGTGTCACTCGTGGAGCGGGGGATGCTTACCCCATCGTGGGGACCGCCCCTGATGTCCACGTTGTGAAACTGGTCGGGGTTGTAGCTGTAGCGGAGCGGCTCCTTGCACCGGCGTCGGCTCTGGGAGTTTCTGGATGGTGACGCCATGGCAGCCAGGCCCAAAAACCTGTTCTGGTACAGATTCTGTGGCGGGGAGAGAGAGAGAGAGGAAGTGGATTCAGGTTATCCAAGCAACTCGGAAGAGAAACTCGCGCAGGAAACAAAAAGCTGAGAGTGAGCGGTCCTCGTGTGCAGACCTGAAACATGACAGAGAGCATCTTCCTTGTGACAATGGCTGTAGCTGTAGGGTCACACAGGGACAGCGAGAACAAAAATAGGAGCACGCCAAGGTGCCCTGCATTTGCACGCTCTGCTGGAACCTCGCTCAGCTGCCTTTAGCATCTTGATCCTAGCCGGGATAGGGTATAGAACGGCCTTGAAAACGAGCCTGTCCTCAAACAAAGAGCCCTCTCTTGAGCTCTCCAGTATCCACCCTGTCGGATCCACTTTTCTATTTCCTTAGCGTGAATGATATTAGCTGTGGCTGACACCGCAGGGACCCTGCACCGTTAAGTCCTACGCCCAGAGCAGAAGGAGAGGCGCTGTCTTCCGGGGGAGGAGGTCTTTCTCCCATTTCCAGTCTTCTCATCCTTCAGAATGCCTCTGGGCCATGCGGAATTTCTATTCAAATGTCCCAACCATCTTCAAACACCACAACTTTCAATAAAATCTAATCTTGGAGGACTGTGTCTCCCCTGGAGCCAATGCTATTATAGAGAACATTTTTGTAACTGATGAGGACCAAAAAAGCCCCCTTTTAAATTGTTTACAACACGAAGCACTGAAAATGAGCTGGGCTGGTGCAGAGCAATGACTTGTTTGGGGTATGAGCGACTCTGAAAACCCACAAGGAAATCCTTTGTATAAGGTGTTCATCTTCAAAACAAGAAAGAATGATGTTGACTTCATCAAAGTATACTGAAGTTTAGATTTAAATATATCTTTGGGGGGGGTGGTCCTGGATATTAAAGTACTTGTTACTTTATCACTAATAAATACTTCTGTTTTCAAGGGAAAAATTAAAGATATACAAATAACGTTAACTGAATAATGTTAATGCAGCTGGATCTTAGAGACCATGACTTATCGCACCTGTCAACAAATGCAAATTATTTTCATTTTGATAACCAGCCCCAAGGGTAGATCTCACCACCCATTTACTCTTTAAATTACACAGGTCTATATTGCTGTCATTTGGCCCTCAACATTTTTCATCTTTCAAGACCAGAACATGTGCAAAACTAACTAAATAACCCATTCCCTACAAAGCACAGTTTGGATACTGAGTGTTGCCCCTCATAGTGAGGTGGCAGCACAGGTCTGTGTCCCTTGGGAGGAATTTCTCTGACTCTATTGCTGGTACCCATAGAATTACCGTATGGGGGAAAGAAAGAGGCCAGAAAATCATTTTTTGGATGCATAAGCCTTATTATTTAAAAAATCAAAACAAAAGAAAAGAAAATCAACACTGCTTGTCATTGCAGTCTGCCTTCTTAACAGAGAAGCAGTGCTTGAGCCAAAGGAAGTATGAAACCCCCACCCAAGCCCAGCCCAGGGCACCATGGCTGTCCTGGACAGTTAGGAAGGGTCCCAGCAAACTGCTCATTCTTTGGAAGGCCTTTGTGACACTTCCCAAACAGAACAGCTACTGCTCCAGCAGCAAGTCAATTTGGTTCACACACACTTTTAGTAACCAATTACAACTTAATGTACTATGGTATTCAATGAAATTGTAATTATGTCAAGCCAAACCAGGATGCAAGCTGGTGCAGCATTTACCAGCTTTCCCGCTGAGAATCCCTGGACAGTTTCATCTTTCTGGACCTGTTTCTGTGCCTGTGCATGAGCCGTTTCCAGCATCTAAGGAGGCATGACAAATCAAGTTCTCAGTGCTGTAAATGCTCGATGCATAAAAGCTGACTGCCAACACACTACTGGTGCTGCTTCAGAACAAAGTCTTCCTGAAACACAGGGCCTGGTGGGCAGGCGGGCTCAGCCAAATGTCCCTTCAGGGGCCTCCAAGTCCCCACACTGAAATTCATTCTGCACTGAACCAGCCAGTGGCTCCAAAACCATGACCAGGTTTCCTTACAAAATTTAAATTGCAAGTGTTAAGTAGAATCTTGTTACTCTTGCAGTACATGCCAACGTTTGTGTGAGGCGCTTCCCTTACTTGCAAGGGAAGAAAAGGGGGTTTTTGCATTAAGATTGAGGATGCTGAAAGATTTTTAACAATGTGGTTTCAATCAGGATGTCAAAAAGAGCAACATGTTTCTTTTCTGTTGAAGACAACAGTTCCGCTGTTGTATGTTTATCAGAATGCCCTGGAAACCAAGCAACTCTGTTGAAATTGTCAAATTACACCAATGCTCAATGTCTACATGATGAGAACTACAGTATAGAAGGAAACACTATTCAACAGCGATGTCTGCCAATAATTGCTAGACTGGGATAATAGCATTGGCTGGGAGTAAGATTAGTGTCAGACAGCTCCTGAAGCCCTCGTTTTCACCTGCCCTATCCCCACACATATTCTCTCCAGTCACACTTGTGACAGCATTTCTACCTTTTATAAAAATAATGATTGATTATTTAATTTAAAACACAGATTAGAAAGAAAGATTCCATTTGTTGCTTCACTCCCCAAATGGCCACAAGAGCCAGAGCTGAGTTGATTTGGAGCCAGGAGCCAGAAACTCCCTCCAGGTCTTCCATATAGTTGCAGGTGCCTAAGCACTTGAACCATCCTCTGTGGCTTTCCTAGGCCATAAGCAGAGAGCCGTATCAAGAAGTGGAGCAGCTGGGACCTGAACTGGTGCCCATATGGGATGCCATTGCTATAGTTGGAGGGATAGCCTGATATGCCATCTTACCAGCCTGGGATTTCTACTTTTTAAAGTGTTAGCAGTTAAGGCACTGGTTCCTTGGGATTCTCACATTACACCCCTGAGGCTGTGAGTTCACCCTCGTTCCACCTTCAATTCCAATTCCTTCTTCATGCACTCCTGAAAGACAGTGGCAATGGCAAAAGTAATAGAATTTCTGCATAGGAGACTTCAGCCTGACTCAGCTCTGGCCTTCTGGATCTTTGAGGAGTGAACCACTGTATGGGAACTCTTCCTCTCTTTCTCTCTCTCTCTGTCCCCTTCCCTCCCTTTCTTTATGCTTCTCAAATCAAAAATTTAAAAAGATCATCCCCTAGCACCCACTCTGATGTAATCTCTCCTTGCCTCTTTCCCATTCCCAAGACAACGATTCTTCTTCTTCATGTTTTCCAAGAATCCCATTTCCCATTCAAGATTTTTTTTTAATTTATTTTATTGTTAATTGGCCAGTCCATCTTCCCTTCAATGCTGTAAGTTTTCTCTTCTGTGTATACCCTGTGCCCAATTCCCGGCTTAGATAAAGGTCCTGAAAACCACTATTAATGTGGCTTATTTTATTTAGTTATATAGATCCTTTTTTGCTCCAGGGAAGATACAGGTTAGTTTATACCAATGGATAAACCATCAAAACACATAATTGCATGGGGGAGAGGAACTACGGGGAGTAGAAGCATTGTAGGAAGGAAGCTCACACAAAATCATTCTGTCATATACTAGATGGGCATCTGTGTTAGACTCATAATGGTGACTTTTGTTTATAATTTCCTAGGTTTATTGAGGCATAACTGAAACATAAATTATATGATTTTAAGGTATTCAATATGATGGATGGATATATGTACATTTTGTGAAATGATGACAACCATCAACTTAGTTAACACAGTCATCTCATACAATAACCTTCCTAGAGTTTTGTTTCATTTTGTGCTGAGAGCACTGATGCAGATTCCAACCGCTGTCTCTTAAATGTGGCAGGTACATAGCTGGTTGCCCAATGTGCAATTTCTTTGTGGCTACAATTTTCCTGGGCATTCACGTGTGTTCCTAGTACACACTATAGACTCATCAGACTGGAAGAAACAGTTTAATAATTTTCCCCTCACCCGTGAACCATGGGAGCTGTATGAAGACCTGCCCTGTTTTTCAATAACCTTGGGTAGAAATGCACTCTCTTCTCAGGCAGTCATTCTGATGTGCTACAATTCTGCCACCTCTCCTGATTTGGAAGAGGATCTGCCATCTCTCCTCTCTCTGGAGAGAAGACACCCCTCCCCCATACCTTTTCCCAGGGCAAAGGCAAGAGCAGCTCTGCCCATTGTCTGTTGGAAGAAAAAGTTCAAGGTTGTCGGGAAGCACTCCCAGCCTTTTCTCTCATTCACCAGTAACTTGAGTGTCTTCTGCCTTCTGTGATAAGCAGTATCACCGCACAAGAGAATTTCCAAGATGCCAGCAATGGTTCTGGGAAAGTGGTGATTTTTCCAATTATTGGTTGCAATCAAATTATCTTAGCTGGTGGCTATGTTAAGTATAGATTTTTTAAAAAAAATTATCTCTTAAAAATCGAGTGCTAGGCATGATCCCGGGGGTGGGGGGGGGGGATGGGGAAGGTAAAAGTATTATGCAAAGAACCCTACCTTATACGGCATAAAATTTCCCCGTTGGGTTTGTTTGTTTGTTGGTGAGTTTTTGTTTACTTGTGCCACTGGCAGCAGAGGATCCAACACTGTTTTGTTTCTTTGTTTTGCTTTTCAACTTAAACAATATGTTAATTGTTGAGATAGTTTGAATTAAACAACATGCTCTTGCTTTATAGTCATCATTTTAAAATCTTGGATTAGGTTTTGTGGATTTCATGTGTTTTAAGATACTCTTATGTACTATAAAGCACATTAATAAACAAAACCTTCCATAGGGAAACAGAATCTTACAAGCACACCCCCTCTCTCCGGTGCAGAGCATTTGCTATTAGGCAAGGATTTTTGTTGTTTCTGTTTGAGGAACACGAACACGGGGCAACAAAGGTTCCGCTGTGTCAGTTTCTGCCTGATGATGTCACTAATAGCTCTTCTGCTTGGGAACAGAAAGCTGGACTGAATCCCAACTGAGGAATGAAAGAACGCAGACAAAAGACATACCTACAATGGAGAAAATGATTCTTAAAAATTGCCTCTACACTATGACACCAGACTCTAAGTGAGC